TTCAGCTTTCTAGCTTTTCAGATCCCCGAGTTATGAACTTACTCGAAAAAAACTTTGGGGGCCCGTGCGCGGGTACCACGCGGGGTATGGCGCTAATTTTGGGGATTGGAGCCCGTACGTGCATGTAGATTAAGTCCTTAAAATTTTAGCTCCTTAGCTTTTGTAGGTCTTGAGATGGAAAACCGTGACAGACGCACACACTGACACACAGACACACACACACAGACAACCTCTCGCATTGCATTGCTGCAAAAAACGCATAAAAATAGGGATGAATGTGGTACAGCTTTCTCAGCCAGTTTTGTCCACTGCGCTGGACTAACTGATCATTTGTTTGACGCCACTGAATTTGTGTCTTGATTTATGAATTAGTTTGTTTAACCATGGATTTTGCTGGAGAGAAAAAAACCGGGGAAGTATTGCGCAAACAATCTAAATTGTCATATTTCAGGAGTGGCATGTTCAAGGGACTGAAATCGAAACTGGAGGATGAAGCGAAGAAACTACAGGCGACTGTATCACAATATGGCGAAAATATCGCGCAACAAGTACGATCTGGCGTGGTAAGAACAGCGAGTTTTTATTGTTACCTGAGAAATACTCTGATGCTAAGGATTTTCACTGCTTTGCAGGTTATGCAAAAAATAGTTGAAATGTTGTCTGGTTCCTAAGTTGCGAAATTTTGGACTAAAAATTTCACGTACCGATACGTGAAAGCGGAATTTGGAACCTTGAACGGTGAACTTCCTTCCAGCTATATTTTATTGATTCTAAAGCTATTTTACTGATTCTGCAGCTATGCATCTGGCAACTTTTCCATTTGTTTCAACCAATGCTGCATCGCTTAGTGGTGATCAGCTTGCTAGTGATCCTGACGTTCATTTTTTTTACCTGAAGGGATTAACAACTCAGTGGTTTTTCGACGGTAATGTAGGAAAAAGCCGTGTTTTAGATGTTTGGAGATGATTTTGGTGGATTTGTTAGGCAATACCACTACGCCCTGATTTTTGCCATCCTTTGACCAAGAAGGGGTTTTTTTGACCAGTCTCATGGGACTGGCATTCATACTCTGGTATTTCTCTTTACCACTTAGAAGTACCCCTGGACGGCATATCGAGTTGCGCCTAATTATAACTTACTGTACGTTATGTGTTGTGTAACAGCAGTACAAAACGCATATTGTCACGGGGTTTTGGCGGGGAAAATTATCCCGGGGATCACGGAAGTTGGTGAGCTAAAATTTTATCGGTATGTCCGCTGCCCATGTGCTACCCAGAAAATTTGAATTCGGCCTTGCTGTTCCCGCGTATGACACTCACGGCCCGTAAAAGTTTTGGTGAGGAAAATTATTGTCTCGGGAACCATGGAAGCTAGGAAGCTAAAATTTTATGGGTATGTGGCCTGCTAAAGTGCGACCCAGAAAATTTAAATTCAGTCTTCCCGTACCCGTGGGTAACATATACGGCCCCTTGATACTTCTAACGGGCATACTATTATTTCGAGAACTGCAGAATCTAGGAAGCTGAAATTCTGGGGGGTTGTTCTCTGCCCATGTATAACTCCTCAAATTTAAATTCGGAGCAGTGAAAATCATTAGCAGGCGATCATTCAGTTGACGGAATTGCACAAAACGCATGATCACACTGGCTACCCTGGTACACGTCGCTATTTGGAATTTAAGGTTGTATTTTGTATTATATTTATAGAGGTTACTATGCATTTTAGGGGTCATGTATAGGGATTATGTTACAAGAAAATGCATTACTATGCATTTTTTTTACAACTGCAATATTATGTAATGCTTTTTGGAAAGGAAGACAAAGTGATTTTGCAGAGCGATACTGGCAGTGATGCAAGTGGGCATGCACGACGTTTTTTTGGTATTACGGGTTCCAACCCCACGCAGCAACAGTCCCCTTCGCCATCTCCAAATCTTCTTGGCGACGAAGAAGTAAGAAAAGCATTTAAATATGGTAGTTGTCTAATTTTAACAACTTTTTTTTACAAATTGCTACAAATTTCATTATTTATTCGCATTTTAGAATAGGAAACCCATTTGGCGTCTTCCCAATTCGATTTTTGTGGGGGAAGGGGGGGGGGGAG